AATTCTGTAATATGCCCATTGGATTAAAATCGGTGGTGTGCACATTTCGGAGAATAATGAATGCTGGTATGGCTTCAATTAACGGTATCAAGATATTGATTTACCTGGACAATGTTATGATAATTGAGGCAACGCTGGAATAGCGTAGTGTGGCTTTAGTAGAGGTTTAAAAGGGGCTGAGAACGCATAATTTTAAGACCTATCCAGAAAAGTGTGAATTTTACGAAGGAAATTATGCTATTTAGTTCATACTATTTTATCCGATGGCCGGTCAAAGTGGCACGCGGTCTAAGGCATAAACTGTCTACGCCCGTTCGAACACTGAGGTCGTGAATTCGAATCCCAACGGAGGTATGGATGTTTGTTTACGTCTATTTTGTGTTTGTGTTGTCCTGTGTAGGTAGCGACCTTACGATGGGCTGATCCCCCCTCCAAGAAATCCTACCGACTGTCTACAAGATTAAGAAAGGGAAAAAAGAGAAATATTTAAAATCTGCTCTTGCAGTTTTACAATCACTGCTTACAATATCTCGGCAATACTGGACTGTCTTCTTCAGCGGTAGGATCAAGACTGACTGTGTGAATGCATTCAACCCCATTTTATAACCTCGGTCGCTGCTATGCAAACGAACCCTCTGTTATAACCGTGGAGACTCCTGTTAGAACTCCAATAGAGCGATTGTTGTTTCCCATGCAACGGTCTATTCTAGCGTTTCCATAGAAGTGACTCTTCTGGATTCCAGACACGTTACATTGCTCCCTTCTAAAGGTTGTTCGTCCCGAACAGCCTAAAGGCTCTCCCTCGGTTTCGATTCCGAGGCGTTTTGCTGGCAACGTCTTCATTCGGCCTTGCTGTTCTGCTGACATCTTTGTGAGCTGTTCGTCCAAAGCCGGAAAGTCTAACAGTAATGCGACTGAGCAGTCTAGAATGTGCCTAACAACAGGAAATTAGTTAATTTCACAGTCAAACTTGTATGCAGGAATGAAGCCTTGTTATCAAGAGGATGAAAGGGATTAGTAAGCATGTGAAGAAATAGAACAGGACAATTACCCAGAAGTAGACATAACCTCTATTGCTGGTTGCTTCAAATGAGCCTGCCCTACAACTGGAATGAGCGTCGTTGAAATTGCGAGAGGAATGCGAGCAGTTTCAGTGACTAAACCGGCAACATATTCTGACATTTGCATGTTTGTAGAGATTCTGAAGATTAGAATGATTCCCACGAGATCTGCACGTCCCCAACGAGCAACTCTCACTTCATGCAGTACTATATACCGAAAAGGTACAGAAGTAACGCTGTAGACTATAATTCTGGAGGTGCCAGATTCAAATCTCTGAGGGGTCACTAGCTATCCTTATTGATCAATAACCTAATTTCCGTGATAGCACCTCATGTAGGCCGCTACCGGTTCCTTCCAGATCCTTCCAAATCATCAGTCATCGCATCATCCGATGCTATATAGTATCGGTACTGAAAATGATGCTAGATATAGAAGTATATTTGATAAACAGTGAAATAGTGGATGTTACGACAGTACCTTACGGAGCTATTATAATTGTGGTGTTATTCACAATTGTAGTAAATAAGAACTGTAACATCACGTATTCGGGGTTGTCGTGAGCAGTAATAATGGGTTCTGGATTTGATGATTGGGTTTGTTGACACTTCTTTACAATTACAATCAGTTATTATTATTATTATTATTATTATTATTGGAGGGGGGTGGGTTTCCCCATGCACCGCGACTAATAGTCTATTGTATGTCCCCCTTTGATATTCTACCAGTAGCCAACCCTTCCGATACTGGTGCTCGCTATCAGCCCCGTTCAGCCAGCGGGGTCGGCCTTCTACTGGCAGTGGTACCCGATACTTCCCTATCTACCGGAGGCATTGGAAACTACTTGGGCGGGAAACTTTGCCTAATTTTGCTCAGAGGTCTCCTAGAGACATGACGATCTTTTACGTGCCGTAAATCTACGACACGGGACCCACGGCTTAAAGTCCCTCCCGGAGGACTTGTTCCCTGAATTTTTCTGCCCTTAAGAATTNTGGCTTCAAATGACCTTCGTTGTCCCCTGTAAACCTTCGGCACGGATCACGTGAAGAAAACACATTAAGAATACCGTACCTTAGTAATCCTTCTGTTGTGTCGTGACGGGAATGCCTTTCTTAACATTCATTGCCGTAGGAAAAATATTTGTCTAGCCGTTGTCTAGCAGCGGTCATCCACGTTACAATATGTATAGAGAGGAGCACAAAAGTGTACACACACCGTTCCGCCTCAATTTTCCTTACTGTCCAACCATTCATTAATGTGACTAGCACCATCTTTTGAGGGAATATCACACTTCACACCTTATACTGCATTTCTGTTCAGTTTTAAAAATGGCCGAAAGTAAACTGTATGGAAATTCATACACATTCATTTGGGCTCCCCACAGTTTTGTCCCTCTGTATATACATTTATATATTTATCCAGCTAGGGGAAGAGATGCTTATGATTGATGACAGGAAGAAATTTTACGTTATATTCGATTCAAAGGAGAACAGGTAGCTCATTGTAAAATCATGCAGGTGACATATGAATATGTTTCATTTAAGGCATTCATTTAGCGAGTGTGAAGTGCATATTTTAGAGCATGTTCAAGCAATTCTGAAAGGTTCTTCACAGAGGCTAATGAACTTCAGGAAGCATTATGGATACCCAAGGAAGACCATGCGTGAACTTCTGTCGCATCTGAACCCAAAGGTACATACTACGTCAGAACCAAGTGCCCAATGATGCGCAGATAAAAGGAAATGGAAAAATTATGTTTTATGAGGTCCGTACATCACAAGTATTGATCAGATATTTTACAGAAGAGCGTGTAAACATTACGCAGAAATATGTAATGCCTCCCTTAATTTTAGCCCTGAAATGATGTGAATCGGAAAGCAAAAATTTGAATTAGACCTAAGGCTGATATCGACTCCCACATAGAATGTACGTCCACATTTGTGTAGAATTATCAATATTTTTTACTTTAGCTATCGCCGTAAATTTTTATTTCAAATGACGTTTCGGAGAATGCATCTCTCTCCATCTTTAGGTAAAAAACCTACTTTATTGAGTCCAATCAATGGAACTAGTCCGGAAATAGAGACTACCTGTCTAGATAAGACCAAACTGAGAAATGTTTTAAGTGAAAATGGAAACATTGCCCAGTGTCCGCAACATCGTCTCAAAAATTTACATTGATGACTGATATCCAGAAAATATATCACTCTGTGGGAAAGTTATGAATATTGCAGATACAAAAATGGGTACTGAGGGGCAGGTTAGACTTCACATAAATCGTTCATTAAGGTTTGGGAATTAATTACACTTGCTCTAATTCCTCTCAGTGCAGTAGGGCGTGTTTAAAGGAAATATGATTTGTTAAGTATTTCCACAGGCCAGTCACGGTAGCCGAGCGGTCTAAGCCGTGCACTGTCTTCGCTCGCTCGGAAGCCGGGATAGTGGGTACGAATCCCACTCAGGGCATGGATGTTTGTGTGCGTTTTTCTGTGTTTGTGTACAGGTAGAGGCCTAGCGACGAGCTGATCACCCGCCCAAGGAGTCCTACCGTATGTCTAAGATCTAGAAAAACCGAAGTGAAAG